GGGAAAGAGGGTCTTTGCTCAGGAGCTTGCGGGGCTCATTGACAGGGCTTTAAATGAGATGCAAAGCGGGAGGTGGAACATATCAGGCTTGCCTGTGACAAGCTGTGGGATGACACACAATGGTTCGAAGGATGGGGTGCTAGTATGAGCCCTCAACCTGTTGCCCAAAGGCGTGCTGGGGACACTGCAGCACAGCTGAAGTCTTGCAGAGATGAGCTGGGGGCTCCTGAGGTAATAGGAGCCAACAAGGAAACGTCCGTGAAACATCTCAAGGGAAACAAGGGGTGTTCCACTAAGAAGATGACATGGCCAACAGCTCAGATGAAATGCCTCTACACGAACACACACAGCATGAGAAGCAAACAGGAGGAGTTGGAAGCTACCGTGCTGCTAGAAAGCTACGACCTGATTGCCATTACTGAACTTGGTGGGATGAATCCCATAACTGGAATGTGGCCGTTGATGGCTACAGGCAGTTCAGAAGGGACAGCCGAGGAAGGAGGCGCAGAGGCATCAATACAGTGTGAAGAGCTGTCCCCCTAAAGAATAGCCACAAGCAGGTGGAAAGCTTATGGGTAGAATCAGAACCAGGGGCAATAAAAGGAACCTAGTGGTTGGTGTCTACTACAGGCCGACGGATCAAGGAGAGACCGCTGATGAAGCCTTCTTCCTCCAGCTTCAGGAGGCTTCAAGTTTGCAGGTTCTTGTCCTACTGGGGGACTTGAACCACCCTGACATCTGCTGGAAAAGTAGCATGATGAGCCGTAGGGCAATCCAGCAGATTCCTAGAATGCATTGAGGACAACTTCTTAAGCCAGGTAAACAGATAGCCCTACCCGAGAGGATGCAATACTGGGCCTGAAGGTCACTAAAGCAAGTGTGCTCATCAGTGACATCAAGACTGGAGGCAGCCCGAGCTGCAGTGATCACACATTGGTGGAGTTCACAGTCCTGAGGGATATGGGAAAAGCAAGGAGTGTCTAGTCAGGACCCTAAATTTTAGGAAAGCAAACTTCCAGTTCTTCAAGGAGTTAGTCAGAAGGCCGCCCTGGGAAACTGTTCTCAGGGATAGGGGAACAAACAGAAGAGAGCTGGCAGATCTTTAAGAATGTGTTCCACAGAGCACAAGAGCTCTCAATCCCCAGGTGTAAGAAGTCAGGCAAAGAAGGGAAGAGACCGGCATGGCTGAGACAAGAGATGCTGGTCAAACTAAAGAGCGAGAGGGAACTGCACAGGCAGTGGAAGCAGGGACAGGTATCCTGGGAACAGTATAAGGACACTGCCCAGTTGTGCAGGGATGGGGTCCAGAGGGCCAAGGTTTGGCTGGAGCTGAATTTGGCAAGGGATACAAAGAATAACAAGGGGGGCTTCTACAGGTATGTCAACCAGAAAAGGAAGGTTAAAGAAAGCGTACCCCCCGATGAACAAGCATGGTGACCCAGTATCAACAGACGAGGAGAAGGCTGAGGTACTCAACTTTTTGGCCTCTTTTTTACCTTCACTGGTAACCTCTCTCCTCATCCCTCCTGAATCAATGGACCACAAGATGGGGGCCAGGGGGGTAAAGCCCCTCCCACTGTAGGAGAAGATCAGGTTTGTGACCACCTGAGGAACCTGAACACACATAAGTCCATGGGATCTGATGAGATGCATCCCAGAGTCCTGAGGGAACTGGCTGATTTGAAAAGTCATGGCAGTCAGATGAAGTCCCTAGGGACTGGAAGAAGGGAAACATTGCGCCCGTTTTCAAAAAGGGTAGAAAGGAGAGCCCCAGGAACTACCGACCTGTCAGCCTCACCTCTGTGCCTGGGAAGATCATGGAACACATCCTCCTAGAAGCTACGCTAAAGCACATGGAGGACAGGGAGGTGATTCGAGACACCCAGCATGGCTT